AAAAACGTCGGAAACTCGATTAAATTATGGATTTGAGCCTAAGAACTTCACATTTCATCAAAATACACTTTCGATCAAAAACCTAACTAAAACACGTCCGAATGAAATGAAATTTTGCACACACGTCCCAAATGACATGACGGAGCTACTGCAACTTTCGGAATTCCAATCCAACCCTCGGATCAAAAACTCGCTATCGGACCGGAAACTTCAAAAACTCAAACTTCGGCATTCCAAGCCTAAATGAGCTACGGACTTCAAAAATATATTCCAGACACGCTCCCAGCCCCGAAATGACTTAACGGAGCTAACGAAACCATCGGATTTCCATTCCGAGGTCGTCTTCACACTGTTCCGACTACGGACCACTTTTCAATACTTAAGCTCTCATTTAGGGACTAGGTGTCCCAAAACTCGCTGAAACCCAACACCGAACGTTCGGACAACCCGGACTAGCAGAAATGAACTTAGGGGAAGCAGTTAATAGGGGATCGGGGCGTTAATTCTTAAGACGACCGGCCGGGTCGTCACAGGAACAAGAGCTGTCAAAGACCTATAGCTGGCTGAAGATAGCAAATGAATTATTCCTTAGATAGAAAGCAAAGGTTCAATGGCTAACTCAAGGTGATCAAAACACAAGGATGTTTCATAGCTTCATGAAAGCAAGAAGGAATGAAAACAGAATATTCTCTATATGGGAAGAAGGGGGACAAACAATAAACAATATCGATGGAATTGCAAGGGCTTTTGTGGAGTTTTATACATAATTATTGGGGACGAAAAAAGATTGCAGGAAACATGTATGCAACAACATAATTAGAGAAGGACCTATTGTGGATGAAGAATAGAGGCTAATGCTTGAAGCTGATTTCACAAGTGCAGAGGTAAAGCAAGCTCTGTAGGGCATTGATGGAGAAAAAGCACTAGGGCCAGATGGATATGGGAGCAGTTTCTTCAAAGACTGCTGGAACACTGTAGGGAAGGATCTAACAGAGGGAGTATTAGAATTCTTTGTTACAGGGAAGATGTTGAAGGCACTGAATAACACAGTGATAAGAATCATTCCAAAACCAAAACACGAGGACAAAGTGGGAGATTATCGTCCAATTGTGTGCTGCAACACAGTATATAAAGTGATATCAAAAATGCTGTGTAACAGACACAAGAAAATATTGCCTTTTATAATATCGAAGAATCAAAGCGCATTTGTAGCAGGTAGAACCGTTGTGCAAAATATATTAATCTGCCAGGATTTAGTGAGGTTATACAATAGGAAGAGTACGGCAAAGAGTCGCTTAATAAAAGTTGATCTTAGAAAAGCATATAACTATGTGAAATAGGCTTTCGTAGAGGAAATGTTACATGCTTTGAACTTCCCAGCAAGGTTCATCAAATGGATAATGGCTTGCATATCAACCCCCAGTATACAATTACAATCAATGGTGGAATTTATGAAAAGATTATAGGGAAAAAGGGGATTCGACAAGGGGATCCTGTATCATCTTTACTGTTTGTAATATGCATGGAATATCTACCAAGAATATTGAAGCTGGTTACACAATAAGAGGGGTTTGGATTTCACACAAAATGTCGTAGTATCAAGCTGAATCATCTTTGTTTTGCAGATGTTGTTCTTCTATTTTGCAAAGGAGATTACCACTCAGTGATGTTAATACTCAGAGGTTTGAAGACATTTTCAGAGGCATCAGGACTCACCACCAATGCATGGAAATGAAACAATTTCAGTGTGAACATAAATATACAACAAGTGGAAGAGTTATGTGAGATCACTGGATATCAAAAAGGCAAACTCCCATTCAGGTACCTTGGAGTCCCAATTACATCAACAAAGATATCAGCTGTAGATTGTGAAATGTTGGTGGACAAACTGACTGCTAAAATTAGAGGATGGGGATCAAGAACTCTATCATATGCTGGATGAGTGCAGTTGATAAATTCAATTTTAATGCAGACACTTGTGTATTAGGCATCTATCTTTATGCTACCTAGAGCAGTCTTGAAAAGAATAACTTCTATATGTAGGAATTACCTCTGGGATGTGAAGGTGAACACAAACAGGGTACCACTGATAGCCTGGGACCTGGTTTGTAGACCAAAGAAGGAAGGAGGGCTAGAAGTTACAGAATGTGTGAGCTGGAATGATGCTGCCATAGGGAAATATGTATGGGATATAGCCCAGAAATCAGATAATCTATGGGTAAAGTGAGTTAATCACCTGTATATAAAAGAAGAAGATTGGTGGGACTACGAAGTACCTCAGGACAACAGCTAGTATTGGAAGAAGATATGCCATATCAAATACAAAATGGCAAGGGGGTATGTGAATAACCACTAGATCTCTCAAGGTGGAAAGTACATGATAAGAAATGGATATGAATGGCTAACTGGAAGCCAGGTACTATGGCAACATTGAACTTGGGTGTGGAATAGCTTAAATACACCCAAGCATAGCTTTATATGTTGGCTAACCATGCATGGTAGGCTACAAACAAAAGACATGCTTGTACGAATAGGAATAAGCCCAGACAGCCTATGTGTGATATGTGGTCAAGCAACAAAGACCATATCTCATTTGTTTTTTTAGTGCCACTTCTCTAAAGCATGTATTACTGAGATACTACAACGGCTGAGGATAGGAGTGCAGAACATGGAGCTAGAAGGTCTTTGCAAAAGAATCACAAGAAATGTAAAAGGGCGGCTAAGGAAAATTTTTGTCCTTGCCATCATGTTTGCACTGATATATGGCATATGGAAGGGAAGGAAAGAAGCATTGTGGCAAAGCAAAGTCCCAAGGCCACATAGCTTATGCAAGCAAGTGAAGGAAAAATGCATACATCGGATGAGAGACTGCCTGGATCGAAGGAGAAGGAGGATGATAGGATATGACTGAGAAATTTTTTATAACTAGAACAACATAGGCATGTAAATAAGCAGTAGAGTTTTAATTTTGTAGGAGATGTCTTATAGGTGCTGTTATTTTCTGCTCTTTGGCTATAGCTGATGTATATGTTTTTTCTGGTGATGTAAAATAAATAAATAAATAAATAAGGAGTTATGATGCCTAACAAAGTTCTTTCTTAACTTTAGATTAGAAAAATTAGAGATACAAAAACAAAATCTACAATTATAAACATTCTCTTCATTTATTGCCGCAATTGGGTTCTACCACACTCAACACAACTGTGTAGTAAGCATCTCAATATTTTTTTTTATACAGGTAAATACTTTTTAGCATCAAATTAACTATTTTTCACCCATTTTTGTAATTTCTCCGCACTTTACACACCCATTGTGTGTGTCACTTAATCTTGATTTCTTGTCAAACTACAATAAAATATGATAAAGTCAGTGTCATTTTATTAATTAGAAAGGATTATGGCCCTTGTCACTTGGCCTAGCAGCCCAACCGAAAATGGCCCAGATTTGAAACTCTTACCCTATTTAGCCCATGTTGTACATAACTTGAAAGAAACTTTTTAGCCTTTAGCCCATTATTAAAGACACACTTTTAGGGTTTTTATTATTTTCTTCTTTCTTCATTCCCAGCACACCAAATTCTCTCTCACCGCCTCTCGCTTCTTTCTTTCCAACCCACATAGATCCCTCATCCTCTCTTAACCTAGCCCCCGCTATTACCCCCCCCCCCCCCCCTGCCCCCAACGCAGTTCTGCCATCAATGGCTCGAAGAAGGCTCGGGCTCCTACTCCGTCGTTCATGGTGGCAAGCAGAAGAATATTGAAGATTTTTGAAATTGGGTCTGACTCTTTGTAGTTTGAAACCTTAATTTCCAATGTCTGGTCGAGCTCCGAGGAGAAAAGATGGGAAACTAAATCAATCTTCAACACGATGAAGCATAAAGCTCCAGACTTGCTTGTTCTTAAGCTTGTTGACCTTCTTGGCTCATCACAAGTTATTGATTCCCGTGATATGTGTGTTGTCCTCCTTGAAGTCTCGAATCTGAAATTGGGTGTATCATATCCGTGCGTTGAATTCCGAATCATTGGTGCAAAATTGCTAACCTATAAACGAGTTGAAGCATCCAATACCTTCTACTACAACTCGAGGCTTGGATAAAAATCATAACTATATAGCAGTTTGTATAAACACTGTATAATTGTGTATATGAATATACAAACACCTCTTATACACTATTATACATGTTTATACAAGTTATACAGTATTGTATAATTGTGTATAATATTGTATAATTATATATTTTTTTTCAGTTTATAAGGATGTATATACATTGTTAGTGTGTAAGAGGCCTCTACGTAAGTTTGACACTTCCTTCTCTTCTTCTTTTTCGTGTATGTGCTGTATAAATAAGATTTGTACGCGTTAGAGGGATTCTACAATTCATTTACCAAGTTTTTATTTTTCTTTTATCATGTTGGATTGCTTCAGCAATTGCATATAATAGTGTATGAAAACAACTGGTTGTATAAAGAGGTAGCAATAACCGTAGTTGATTGTGTGAAATAAGCTGTCTTCCGAGAATTAGCCTATTATTTTTGGGCTATAGATTTGCAAAGTGGTATCTAGGCTATTATGTTGCAAGTCAGGTGTGTGAGTTGTATTTATGTGAAATTATCCCTATTAATTATATGTCATATTTTAATTAAATAACTTACTTAGTTATTGTTGGATTTTTTGTCTAAAATATTCAAAAGGCATGACACTATCAGTTTGCATGAGCTGGTCAATCGCCTAATTATAGATTTTTTGTTTAAAATATTTTTGTCATACCATATATAGTATGATAAAGAATTGCTGTTAAATCTTTATCATCAAATGGGGGGTTAGTTGTGAGATTGTTAAATTAGGTGGATGTTTGAATAATAATAAGTTGGATGCTTTATTAAATTGACCCATTTTATAGTAAGTTATTTATTCTTTATTACACCACATGTCTATATAATAAGGTAGTCATTGTTTACTTCCTCAGTCAACTTATGCTTCTTTCTTCCTTGCAAAACAGAGTGATGAAGAAGTCAAGAAGTTTACCCAATCACATGCCAGCAAGGATCAGCGGCACCAATGAAAGTGTTTTAACCATAATTCTTCTCCGTTTGCCTGTGAAGTCTCTAATCATATTCCGTAGGGTAAGCAAACAATGGTCTTCTCTTATCTCCGATCCATACTTTTGTCACTCTCATACCATATATAGTATTAAAAAGAACCCCAGTTTTCTTTCCCCTTCTGGTTTCTTCATCTATAACTCCTTATATAATCAATTCCTTTCTTTTTCTTTATCTAGAAAAAGAAGTAAACCTTCTTTGCCTTCCCTTTCGTTTTTAGGCCAAAATTGTAAGATTTTACAGTCATGCAGTGGCCTTTTACTCTGTCGTTTGAACTGTGGAACCTTCTGTGTTTGCAACCCCACAACAGGGAAATTCAAGATTCTTCCATCCGCTAAGGTGGACGGTGAATTCTCTTGGATAAGTCCATTTACACTTGCTTTTGATCCTTCTCGATCGCCTAATTATAGAGTTGTTTGTTTCAAGAGGATTAAGAAAGAATCACCTGAACCAACAGGAAGTTACTATTTTTTGATATTTATATATTTATCTGAGATGGATATCTGGAAATCTAGCAATACTTTTGAAGTGAACATGTGCCCAGACATGGCTGCGGGAATCTTCTCAAATGGTGTTGTTCATTGGGCTTGCCATGAACAGTACATCCGGTTCGATATGAATGAGGAGAAGGTGATGCTAATGAGATTGCCATTTGTTTATGTGTTTAATAATGAACATTCATGGGAAATTGGCTGCCTTTGGCAATGGCATGACACTATCTATTCAGCTATGAAAAGTGAGGAGAATTTTAGTTTGCATGAGCTGGATCAAGCTACTTTAAAATGGATTCCGCACAAGTATTACCTTGCTTCCTATAGTCTTGCGAAAATAGCATATCGTGCAGTTACGAAGGAAGGGACAGAGGCACACAAATACGATCGAAGAGAGCGCAAGTTCTCTGTAATTGCTTTGGTCAAGGGAGACAAGGAAAAGGATACTGCAGTATTGATAGCCATTTTTGGCAAAGTCATTTCCTATAACTTTGCACGGAGGAAGATTAAAATCATTCTTGACTTGGGATTGCCGAGTGATATTGCGAGAGATGTATGTTGTAATTGCCTTAGTGCTTATCAGTATGTTCAAACTCTGTCTTCTGTTTGACAGTGTGTTTTTTCTTCAAATAGCTACAGTTTGGGTGTTAGCATGAAATCTGCTACTTCTTCCTTTGTGTACTTGCATTTCTAAGAGGAACAACGTCTTCATTTCTGTTGAATGATTAAAACTGAAATTTTGCTCCAAATTTGGTAATGAAACTATGAAGTATTATAGACTAGTAAAAGGAACCCCTCTTGGCTCTGTTTGGTCAATTTGCTTCTATTACAATAGGTCTGAATAAATGCATAATAATGACCCAATTGTTGATACAGTACTTAAGTACTATATTTGCATTTTGCCTATTCCTAGTGTTTGAACAGTAATCTCAATTCTTTATGCACATCTGAAGTTAGCCTCTCTTGTAGTGAAGTTCTACTTGCTAATTTGATGAGTCCTCATTTTGTAAGAAATGAAACTAATGATATAATCAGCCATTAAATTATTGATAAAATCAACCATGAATATTCAGACTGTGAGAGTGTTTGGATTGACTTATAAAAGGTAGCTTTTAAGTTAAAAGCCAAAAGCTATAAGTTGTAATACCCAACTTTTGGCTTTTGGCTTTTGGCTTATTTTTGTACTTTTTATGCCTAAAAGTAAGTGCTTTTAAGCACGTTTTATCCTTGCCAAACACCACACAAACTAAAAAAGTGCTTAAAAGCCAATAAGCACTTTAAAAAAGTCAATCCAAACACCCTCTATGACATATTACTATTGGAGATACTACTCCCTCCGTTCCAATTTATGTGATGATATTCGAATTTCAAGAGTCAAACGAGCTATTCTTTGACCGTAACTTTTTTTATATTTCTTTAAATATTTTGAATTATAAATTTTTGTGACTTATGATTTCAAATATGTAAACTTTATCTCGAAAAATTTTAAAAATTTATGTTGTAATATATTGTCAAAATTACGAAGTTTGAATCTCAAAAATCAAAATGTATCATATAAATTGGGATAGAGGGAGCATAATTTATTTTGGTTTCGTCCACCCATAAGCCCATTAGTTAATCTCTACCTAAACCCTAACACTAGTGCATATAAATACCATTATGAGTGTTGAAAATATATGCATTTCCATTTATATGAGGACAATTAGGATTTATGAAGAAAACTCTTTGCATTTTGAGGGGATATTGTAATGGACTGATAGGAAAATGGAGTTTGTAGAAATGAATTGAATAAAAACAGTGGTCAATGGTTCTTTTACTTCACAAATCCAAGATACAATTGATATGACAATGGGATTACAACTAATCAAATGACGTAATCTCCAACTCCATTGATGAAATTCAAGCAGAAAAGGAATTAAGTAAGAGAAGAAGAAGAAGAAGAAGAATAAGAAAGAAGAAATGGGTTCGAAGAACACCAGTCAAAAACTAAAGATTCTGACCTTGTCCAATTCGATTATAACAACCTGATCCCCTAACTAACTCTTATCATCACAGTCGTATGTTGCGTTTAATCATTCCACCCAATGATTAGGATTGGAGAACACCATGGCTCTTAGGTAAGTCTCCAAACATCTGTTGAGCCTCTCTGTTTGGACATTTATCTGAGGGTGATAGGTAGTAGACATGGTTAGTTTGGTACCCATACTTTTGAATAATTTCTACCAGAAGTGGCCTACTGAAAACAGGATCCCCATCTGAAATAATTGTTTTAGGAAGACCATGTAGCTTGTCGACCTCCTTGAAGAAAATTTCTACAACTTCCTGTGCCGTGTATGGGTGTTGAAGAGACAAGAAATTACCATACTTGGTCAGTCTATCTACAATTACCATAATAATATTACTACCTGAAGAGGGCAGCCCTTCTATGAAGTCTATTGCGATTTCTTTACAACGTAGATATGGAATAGGCAATGGGTGAAAAATCCAGGAGGAAGTAGACTTTCAGTCTTCACTGTCTGAGAAAAATCATACTCTACAACCCATTTTGAGATTTTAGTATACACAATGTGCCAATAGAAGCTTGAGCTAACTTTTTTATATGTAACATGTTGCCCAGAATGCCCTCCAAGAGGAGACTGATGAAGAGCTTCAAGAATCATCACTATGAGATTGGCACCGCTACGCATATATATCTTCTCATCATTTCTGATAACCCCTAGAGTAAGAGTATACTTAGGCTTGTCCGTAGGAGCGAACCTGTTTGATTGGGTACGGAGTTTCAGAAAAAATAAAGACTTTTGAAATTTATGGTCCTAAACAAGTCAAAAAGGGGTCCCTTGTATTTGTGTGGTTATAAAAGCTTCTCATTAAGGGTAGAATAGTAATTTTAAGCTAAATTGTTACCAGCTTTAGAAATAGGTCATTATTTTTGGAACGGTCCAAATAGGAAATAGTTTCGCATCAACTGGAACGGAGGGAGTACTATTTACTCTGTAATTAATTGTAGGGCCACATGATCATGTTCATAATTCTAATTCACTTCCTTCGTCTAAGTATGGATTCCTTGTCTTGCCTCCTGAATAAGGCATCTGCTAATCTATTTTCTATTCCTTTTATTGAACTACACTTTATATTCCAGACTAATAGCCTGTTTGGCCAAGCTTCTCAAGAGACCAAAAGTGTTTTTTTTCTCAAAAACACTTTTTTTTCTCTAACTTGAGGTGTTTGACCAAGCTTTTTTGAGGAAAAAAAAATACTTTTGGGAAGAAGCAGAAGCAGAAAAAAATAGCTTCTTCCCAAAAGCAGAAGCAGAAGCAGTTTTGACTTTTCTTCTTACCAAAAATACCCTTAACAAAATATAGTATATACCAAAATAACCGTTAAACCTAATACTTAGGATATTAATGTATAAATATTTCTTTTTATTTTTAGAATATCTTTCTAATATATAGTTACTTTAGCGGTGAATGCTTTTATATTTTTGTTGAATAATTTTTAATATATTTAACTTATATTAAAAGAATTAAGTACTTTTTAATTTTATTTTCATATTTTACTTAAATAAAATGAAAAGATTTAATTATTGCATGTAATAACAAATTTTTGAGATTATTTATTTACTTATAATATTAACTATAAAGTAAATCTATTCATGTCCTTATTCGTAATTTGATACTTAAAAGCACTTTCTGAAAAGCTTGGCCAAACACAAATTATTGCTCAAAAGTGTTTTTCAGAGTAATTAGCCAAACACAAACTGCTTCTCTCCAAAAGTACTTTTTTCAAAAGCACTTTTAAAAAAAGCACTTCTCAAAATAAGCTGATTTCTCCAGCTTGGCCAAACAGGCTATAAGTAGCTTGGTCGTGCCTTTCTACTGCAATCCAGTAGTTACTCTCTGCTCCAATAGGTGTTTTAGACTGTGGTGGTATTATCAATATTCATTATATTCATACAAAAAAAAAAAAAAAAAAGAAGCAAGCGGTTGTGGTTGGATGATCTCTGAAGAGTTACAACTCTTCATTTGAATTCAACAGGTTGGGGCTATAAATTGCAGTCCTTTCTCTCAGATTTTCCATACGAATTTTTGACTTCTCCTCCTTTCTTCTACATTGTTTTAACTACTAAAAATGCAACAGTAAGTGTGATTTGCTAGTGATCTTTGTGTTCGTTGAAACACTGGGGTTTTAAGTACCGCAGTGGGCTCGGATTAAATTCTGTTTCTGTTTTTGATTTCTGTTTATATGTTATTTTATATTCTCCAGAATTATTTTTACAAATACAAGATACTAACAATTACTTGGTGAAATCAACAAATGCATGTATTAGGGCAGATGTAATGGCTTGCTTGAGCTGTTGAAAGGCTGCATCAACTTTCTGATTCCACTAAAAGGCATTCATCTTGAATAAAATGCTTGGAGGTTCAATTATAATACTATAAGATTTGACAAAACTTCTATAATATCCTGGAACTCCTAGAAATTCCCTCAAGGTATTGACTGCTTTTAGTGTTGTCCAAGTGGCCATGGCTTCAATTTTGATGGATTAGTGGAAACCCCTTCTCCAGTTATGATGTGGCACGTACTCCACCTTTGATTGACCAAAAGAACATTTTGAGAGTTTGACATATAGCTGCTTTTTTCTTAGAGTTTTCAACACTTTTCTAAGGTGTGATATATGCTCTTTGATCGATGCACTAGAAATTGAGATGCCATAAAATACTAACATTACATATTTTTCTAATTATGCCATAAAAATATGATTCATAAGAGATTGAAAGGCAACATATGCATTGGCAAGCCAAATTGTATGACCCTAAATAAATAATGACCTAAGTCCTAATTAATGCAGTATTGTGAAGTTTCTCCTTCCCTATCCTAATATAACAACCTCATATAAATCTTAGAGTATATGCATGATCCATTTAACTCATCCATCAAATCATACCAATGGAATTAGAAAATTGTCTTTGATATTTATATTGTTTAATTTTCTAAAATCGATACAAAACTTCCGACTACCATCTTTCTTGTTGACTAACAAGACAGAAGAGGAAAAGGGAGAATGACTAGGTTGTATTAACCCGTTATTTAACATGTATTATACGGTCAAAATCATATGCCTCTGATTTATAGGCTCGAGGGTCCATTCTAGGCCTAAGTCCGGGCGAGGTCGAGTTCGAGCCCGGTGGACCAGATTCAAGCTCGGAGATAGAGTGCAATGCTCGAGAGATAGGAGTACGAGGAGTATCAAGGCTGAGTATGCTCGAATCCGAAATAGTACCGTTATGGATTTACAACAAAATGAGTTAGATTCCTGCCACGTCCCCAAAATCATGGCGCAAATCCAGAATAGAATCGTACGATTCCGTACTAGGCGCTGTACCAAGAATATTCCTTACTGTAAATAGAAATATACCTTATTTAGGGTTCTCCTATTATATAAAGGGGACCCCAATCATCTGTAAGGGGCATCTAATTATTGAAAAAAGAATATACTCTCTACTTTTTGCCTACTGTTCATCAGAATTGTCTTTTAGTTCTACTGCTCTTACTTTACTTTTCTTACTTAATTGCTCTTATTGCTCTGAACCCACCTCGAGGTTACTGTTGATACCCAATTTTTCCCTATAATACTTTTTAAAGTGTATATATACCTTCAAAACTATGCATTAACATCAATTGATATTTTTTCATAATTTCTATACTTTTAAATTAA